AGATGGGTAAGAGCACATAATGGGCTCATAGAGAGGAATGGTTGCATATGACAAAGATAATGAGCTGAACATGTGAGGTTGATATCCTGCAAGACCATCAGAACATGTGAGCTGAGCTGGGTTGAAGTGGGGGCTTCAAAAGTAAAAGAAAAACAACTTAGACAGAGAACGTTATGAGTTCAAATAAGCTTATTTCATGAAACTAGTGATCTGCATCTTCAACAATTCAGTGAATACTGGCATTGGTGGTCAAATACAAACGGTTTGATAAAATAATTTGTCTTTACGGTTTTGTAGGAACATGTAAATCTGAGCATTTTTCTTGAGGATACAGCAGGAATAGCATCTGTATCCTCATCATAAGTGCTACCTACAGCCATTTTTCAGTACGATTGGTTATACATCTTAAATTTTACGCACAAGTTTGTTGTGCTCTCTTTTTCTTGCTGTTTGCTATGTGTACAGATGTATTTCCATCTCTGTCTGTCTTGACATCAGGACTATATCCAGATGTTTTGGCCTTGGGTGGCCTAACTGGGGTGCTTACTCAACGTGGTGGCATACAGTACTTGCGAGTATTAGGCTAGGCATCTTTAGAAACTTAAACTTTGTTGTATTATTTACCGCGACCCAAATAAGTAAAGGAGGTTAATTTCAAAGAGGCAGAAATCTCACAAAGAAACAGACTGACTGATGACCAGCTAAGGTGGTCCCCCTTAAATTCTGACTGGTCAGCCTAGGTATGTTTACGACCTGTTGATGTTGCACAACATCTTATATTGGTTTTATTAAAGAATGAAGAGTATGAACTAAACCTGCAGTGTCCTATTCTGATGAAATCCCGACCAATGATTCACAGTTTATCTCTAACTTAACATCTGAAAATCACTTCACACATGTTCATCCTTACACTTTGACTCTTGTAGTTTTCCTATTATATGTTGGCAGTAAATTGCTTGGTCTGACTTTGGATATCAGTTATAGGTTCTTGACGTTTTAAGACTTTAAGTTTTTCCTCTTTTTTCTTAGGTTAGCTGGTTTACTACCACTTGTTTCTCTCTCCTCTCCTCTCCTCTCCTCTCCTCTCCTCTCCTCTCCTCTCCTCTCCTCGGTCTGGCTCCAACAATAGCCATCAGAGCCCCTCAGAGGGAGGCCATTGGGGCACAAAAGCACAACGGAAATGAGGGATAACTTCTGGGAAGTCTGGCCTCTCATGCTCATTACCTCCCTCTGGCCCTCCTTCATCCCCCCACCTCTCTCTCTCTCTCTTGTTTGGAACTGAGTGATAACTTCTGGAGCAGGTTGGCCTCTCCCATCCCACCACTATCCCTCTCCTCTTTCCACTTGTGAACCCCTCCTGGTCCACTTCTCTCGTCTTTCCTCTTCTATGTCACCCCATCTTTTGTCATGTGGTCTTCATCCATCCTCCTATCTCTCTCCATTTGGACTAATTTGTGGTGAGATTTTGCCTCTCTCTCTCCCTCACACACACACACACACACACACACACACACACACACACACACACACACACACACACACACACACACACACACACACACACACACACACACACACACACACACACACACACACAGGCATGCATGCATGTATGTATGCAGGGGGGCCTTTGTGACACAGGTTAGAGAAGTCGTAGTTAAGAAAGGACCTCTTCTGTAAGTGTGTGTCTGTGAGTGTGTGCCTGCTCATGTTTGTGTGTGTTTTGTGGGGTCACAGGGGATAGGAAGGAGGTCAAGAAAAGGAATACAACCTTCTCTTTTGTGTTGTTTTGTACTGCTCAGAGGCAGAGCAAAACAAAAACGATGAGAACCCAAAAGATTTGTCTGCTCTTCCTTCTTTCCGTTCCATCCTCTCCACCCCCCTCCTCTCTTTTTCACTCTCTTATTTTAGTAGCCTGTTGAATGGGCAAAAAAACAGCCTGTAGCCTCACAGGCAGACAGACAAACCACAGTGTGGAGATGTTTGTCCAACAGAGAAGGAGAAAAAAGACGGAAAAAGAAAGATGGAGTCAGGACCACCTGAGTGTCACCCTCTCTCTGGCTCCTCTCTCTTCCCCTTCCTCTTCTTTGGCAGAGGGTCACCATTCAGCACAAGCAACTAACAAAGATGTGCAGTGTGCATTTAGGAGAAAAGAAGTCAGTGTCTCAACAATCGCTTGGCTGCCTCACTTTGACTAGTGTGTGTGTGTGTGTGTTTGTGCAGGAGGGGTGTCTGGCTCTAGCTGTGGACCACACATTATAAGAAATGATCACAGAGTTAAGAAGACTTAGTTTGCCAACTTAATATGCCCACTGAATGTAAAATATCAAATATAACGAACCTGTGAAATTGGAAATCTGGTAAAATACAAAGAACCATGAGTTCAGTTCCATTCCTATCCACAGGCTAACTCAGTTTATGTAATTTCGGCTTCTTGTAGGCGTTCCTAGGCCGATACGATAAAGCTAGTATGGTTCATTAACTAGCTGATGGTTTTAGTATGTATGCTTTCGCTGTTTCTGACCAGTAAAAAGACAGTGCCTTGAATGTTACATGATCTCTCTGTTGCACGCATTGCTTTATTTCCTCCACAGAAAGACATGCTCACTGCGAAGCCTATGAGCCTTTTTCCACCGTCATAAGCACAATCATATGCAACTTAGCTAGAAATGCTTGTACAGCTTGCTTGTGCATGTACAGACCGAGCTGAGCACACAGGGAGTGAAAGGTCGGCTCACTGAGAGAAAACTCTGTGAGGGAGCACATGTAGAAACTATTAATCAGTTAAGCACACTATTGATTTTTGTTCACTCAAACTGATTCATTTATTGCTTGGCTACTATTTTTATGCAAAGTATAATTTAAAGTACTTGCAAAAGGTAAGTATGGAAATATAAAGCCATAAAATTTAAGTAACAAAAAGTAATCATAGAAACATGGAGTGTAAATGGACCAACATCTAAAATCAACTACTTTATCGTGACCAAACATGTTTATGACCACCATGTTATTTGAAAGTTTTGTCACCCCGTTCTGAAATCTAGGTGACCTTTTTGAATCCAAAAATATAACACACACCACTCTAGCCAATCAGAATAGAGGATACTAATTCATCAGGGATTTGCTGAATTACTGACACTGACAACTGACACCTATGTCCTCTTATAATTGAACATTTCAAAAAAGAGTGGCAGTCAACCAGGCTGAACATGCTCAGCTGCAAAAGTGACACCTTCATGGGCATAAAAGTCATTGGTGTGAGCCATCATATAATTCAGTAAAGCTCCAATGAGTAACTTAGGGTTTGTGTCAACTCTGGTGCCCCCAGTGGACAAAGAGTCTTTGCTAATCTTGTCTTCTTAGGTAGGGACTCTTGACAAAACATCTCCTTCTGCTGACTTTTGACAGTTGCATGTATCGCTATTTTTGAAGTTTTTTTGTGGAAACTAAAAAAGTGTCTGTTTTCATTCATTTTAGATAAAAATAGGAAACAACAAAGCATTTGTCTATTTGTGTTTTTAATCATGAGGTATGTAGAATTTAAGATATTTTGCAAGAAAAGGGAACCATTAGTGCCAAGCAAAGCATGGCAAAGTTTGGAAACACATGTTTTTGGAGCCTCAACCAAACTTCCTTAAACTATATTACTGTGATATTTTGATGAAAATGTGAATCAATTTTGTAACAGAAAAAAACAAACAAACAAAAAAAAGCTTTCTATCAACGTTTTAACTGCAAATTTTGCTGCAAATTATTAAACATTGACACTGAATGTATCAGTGGTGTTCACTGAGAGAATGTTTTTTTTCCCTGCAATATACAATATTGTTGCACCAATTCTTCAAAAAATTACAGTGTGTTTTTGCTCTATATGAGCACATGCAGGGTTTAGTCGAGGTTAGAGAAAAGCCGTGACTAAGTTCAGCGCAGAAAACCTTGTTGCTGGTGTCACAGTTATACACTCTGTACAAAAACAAAGTACTTCTCTCACTTGAGAAACAGTGCTTGTAAATACAATCCAAGCAGGGATTATTCTTTTTTACCATAGCATAATTGGAAAAACAAATTAGTCGGATGTAAACATTGTTTCTAGGAGACGGGGATGTAAGCTATATTGTAATAGGAACCTGATAAAGCATGCAGTAAGACACTGTTTCCACGGGTACACTAGTTATATAATAGCTGAGAAATAATGAAGTAGTAGCAAAACACTCCTACAACTGTTCTTTCATGAGCAACATTAACATATTCGTAACCTGTTTTAGTAGTGATGCATCGTAGTTTATAATTTGGGGGGAAGCATAAATGCTGAGTTTGAAGTATTTCAGCTCATCCAAATTTCTAATGAACACTCTTCAAAGAGAGAAAATAACACCCTGATGTTCAAAATCTGCCAGTGTCACTCCGCAGCTGACATCATCATTTCACTCCGCTCTCTATCACTTGTTTCCATTCTCTGTGTCCTGTTTTCAGTCTCTGTTTCCCAGAATAACATTGAGTTTGGCCACACGGTGTGTTGGGTGAACACTGGAGAAAACGAGAGAGGGAGAGAGAGAGAGAGAGAGGGAGAGAGAGAGAGAGAGAGAGAGAGAGAGAGAGAGAGAGAGAGCGAGAGAGCGAGAGAGAGAGGCCTGCTTCCCATTAATCTGCCACATATGGTGGATCTGCAAATGACAGATCCTTAATGGTAAACATTGACGGATAGCGTTTGCTTGTTTCTATTGGTGAGCTGGATGGGTACACTTGTGATAAGTGCTCCATTGCCGAGGAGAGAGATGGTGTAAATGGGGCAGGAGAATACCACTAATAAAGCCCCCCTCTGCACAGCCCCCCACCCCCCCACCTCTGCTCCTCAAGCAAGACCTTTTGTCCCACCTGCTATTCTCTGGCTGCGAAATTAGGCTGCACCCCCTCCTCTTTCTCAGCCCTCCTTTCTTTATCCACCTCTTTTCCTTTTGGGTGAACGGCCATGTGAAGAGGTTCATTACCGCTGGAGCTGGCCCTACTCAGGTATGGCTGGGCTCTGTTCCCACTATAGGGCCCAGAGCTCTCTGTGTCTGGCCCCGCTGGCTCCCTGGAAAAGGGAAACATGGCACACAAAGGTCCTGTTAGCACTTCCTATGAAATCAGCAGTTTTCACTGGAGGTACAACGCTCCAATTACCTAACACTCAGAGGATGCTGTACCCCCACAACACAGCCCGGTGCTTCAGTGTGCGTCTTAGTCCTCACCATCATGGTATTCTTCAAGGAAGGCTCTGTGCTAGGTGGCTAATTGGCACTGCAGACACTCTCCTCCTCCTTTTCTTCCTCTCATCCTAATGCTTTTCTGCTCCTCCCATACTTGCATCCATTTTATTTGCCATTCTTCCTCAGAAAAGGTGCCCCCATCTTCCTCTTACACAAACTGTACACTACACAAGCAGCCCAGCCACAATCATCCAGGGCCTGTACCCCATTGAGACCCCCAAGGAAAGCTCTTCATGGCTGGGGATGCAACTTGAAGATCACAAGTCCTGGATCTGTGGGTGAATGGTTGTCCTCCCTCGAGATGGTGTTACAGACTTTGTTTACCTGAGGGTTGTCCAGATGAAGTCATGTCCCTGAAAAGATTCAACGTGGGTTGTGTTTATACCCTGATAATCAGTTATCTGTCATCTAAGAACTATCCATAAAATTTTCAGTATCGTAGAGTTCAAATCTTTAAAATAGCATTTATGTTTTACTGATTCAAGTGTCTCCATTTCTTATTTGAAATGCATGCCAATAACCATCAACATATGTCAAACAGTGGCTTCAGATTGTAGCCCAAGTTTTCAACCAAACATAACATGCAGGCTGATACAGCAGGAACGTGGGTGGTCGTAAAGATCAGCGTGAGAGTTAAGAGCAGTGAAAACCGAGCATAAGTGAATCAGGAAGAAGGGATGAGAGCGTCTCTTTACAACAATGAGACAGGTGGGGAGAGGAAAGACGAACAGGGGTGTAGGAGGAGGAGGAGGAGGAGGAGGAGGAGGAGGACACTGATGCATACACTGACCACAGACCTGGACCAAGATTTCCCATTGCTGTAATGAAAACTGTCTGCCTTGGATTAGTGGAAATACATTTCTTTCTACTTAAATTTGGAAGTTTCATTACAAATTGTCGTTTTTAAAATGATGCTAATCTTAACCTAATGCATACAGTTGGAACAAGGTTGCCTTTATTATGTCTGTATGTGGTAAACAGGGAGCAAAGATCAAGCAATAAAAACAACAGGAATACATGGTACACATCATTTTAAAAAAATGTTGTCATGGTGGTTTGTTGAAACCCAGTGCTCTGATTTACAAGAATTATATAAAAAAGGTAAAAAGTCAACAATGTTGTTTTTTTTTTTTTTTACCTCCAAATTAAAAAAATAAAAGACATCCAAAAACATTTTAAAAGAAGGATTCTGATCTCATAAAGGAGCGTGACAGGAGAGTTTTTAGAAACACAGAGGTCAGTTAAAGATTTGAGTGGTATATCTAATGCTGGAATAGCTCAAAGTGAACGACATAGCTGAGCTGAATTTCTAGTAACAGTGAAGCTACTTTGATGTGTGATCCAACTGCTTTAAACAGGATAGAAACACAACACTGGACTCATTTTTACAAAATGTCTCTTTAAATTTGGAAAAATACCTTCAATTGATTAAACTAAACCACTTTGTTTCTGCAGGTTATGTGACGTTTATACAAGAATTTTGAACTGATTTAAAGCTTAGCACCAATATCCATTGCAAAGATACCAGGAATTGTCTTGTTTTGTCTCATTTGGGTTTTCTGTCTGATTTCCTCTCACAGATGAGCTCTTATCATAAGCAAACAGTTTCTGACCTTTCCCCTAATCTCTCAATCACTTCAGCTTCATCGTAGCCTATCAATCATCTCGGGCTGGATCTGTAACCAGATTATTAGAACTTCTCTATATACAACTACCCATACTCACTAGCAAATATACACACACTGCACCACAGAGCCATAGGTATTATTACAGTAACATTATCACTAATGGTATTGGTGGAGATTTATCCCATCTCGCTTCCTATCATATCACTAGATGGGATTAATGGCTCCTGAGTGTGACGTTTGAATTAAACTACACTCCCTCCGTGTTGGTGTGGAGATAAACACGTCCGAGTGTGGACCTTTGAACCAGCAACAACTCTGCCCATCTGCCACTCAGCTGCAGGAGGGCACAATGATCACTCCCTCACCATGACAGCATCAACAGACTGAGGCCCTGAAGAGAAGATCCAGTTTACAGGTTGACCTTTGACCTAAAATAAATTCACAATAAAGTTCACTGGCTTTGTTGTGAACACACTGACTGTTTTAAATGGTGATAGGAACTAAAGCTGCCTGTTGTTGAATTCAAGTGGGCCTTTTGTTTCAGAATAAAATTAACCAATGAAGTACAAATAGAGATTCAGCAATTTCTTTTATCACAATTACAGAAACACACACTAACTCAAACACCACTCAGTAACAGTCCTTGATTTTTACAGTGACAGTGCGATGTAAGTTTTATATAACTGCCTCAGTCCTCCAAACAATAATCAGTGCACATCTGAGGGAGGGGTTGGTGTTCATTGTTAGCTCTTATTTTTAAAGCATGTTTTCCTATCCTGTTTGAGGATTCAAAGGAATCATAACAGCGGTCCTGTGACCTGTAGGCCTTCACTGCTGGCTGATAAAAAAGGGAAGGGGTTCATCCTGTGGAGAAAGCATCTCCCAGCAAATAGAAATTTTATCCAAAATATTTATTTATTGAGGATCATTTACAAAAACAGTTTATTTTCTTATGGATCTAAATATAATTTTTCTGAATCTGAGAAGAAAAAATCTAATTTATGCAGTAGATAGGACAAAAGAAAGTCTCCCATATTTCATTCATGAGTCAAGAAATTGAAAATAATTTGTTTAAATAACCATAATGATTCTAGCAAGTAGCTGGTAATAATTTTACATTAAAATTATAAATAATTTGAGGTTTTTGAGTATTTTTAAGCAACAACAATTTGTGGTGAGCAGCAGCTTTAAAGAAGATAATGAATCAGAGAAAGTGTTTGCACATTTTTAGAAGAACAATCCTAATTTCTCAATCATTTGAAAGGCTGCCCTATACTTGATAAATGTACTTCACAAGAAGGCGGTTCAAGGCAAGTAAGAGAGCTATTTTAACTACTGAGTTTGTTTGTAATCATGAAAAATCAATAATAATGATGATATACATAATAATGTTAATAATACTAATTAGTAGTAGTATATTACAGTACTGTGTATAGAACACAGTAGTGTTATAAGTAGTAGTATAGTTGTACTATTTATGTGTCATTTTCAAGAATGTAAAAATGAAGGTTGCATATGCTTCTTATTTAAACTTATTCCCGTTTCTGTGTGTCATCTCTTTTCGCCTGCAGTTAAATTTGAAGAAATGAGTTAGAGCTCTGGAATAGAAGCGATTAAAGCAGAGAGGATTATTTTGAATGAGGTCAGTGTTGATATGAATTAAAACTGCGTCTCCACTGGAGGCCTAGTCACTCAAGCAGACAGTACCGAGGAGGAGGCGTTGAAATCCGTTTCCTCATCTCTCTCTCTCTCTCTCTCTCTCTCTCTCTCTCTCTCTCTCTCTCCTCTGCACCACCTCTTCCCTCGTCTGAGAGAGCCGAGAGTCCTGAAAGACGCGCGCCGCATCATCGTGCCATTAAATATTTAAGCAAAACACTGAAACTATATGAAAGATTAAGGGTGCATAAAAATAATTAAGGATTATCGCAATGAAAAATGCATGCTCGCTGTAACCTAGGAGTCCATGATATGAACAATACAATATTAATGGTCTGGAGTGGAGGACTGTGCAGCAGGCAATTGTGAAGCCTCATTAAAAGAAATGTGTTTGTGTCTGGCTCGGGAAAGGCTGCGAGCTACAGATACCAGATCAGTCTGCACTGTTTACAGGTCCACAAAACAAACAGAGGTAATGAAACTGTGCCGTGTAAGGGGTGTGTGTGCGTGTGTGTGTGTGTGAGCAAGGGGGATACTTTACTCCGGGCTTTCTTTAATAACACACACAGATATAAACCCACACTGTAAGTACAAAGACATTTCCACATGACATCAATAACAAGTTCATTCTCCATGCAGGGCGACGACCGCGGATATATTCAAGGCCACAGAAATTAGAAAGCACCAATACCTTTAAATCACATTACCATGAACAGACTCCATTTCTTTCACTGAATTATAAAAGCGTGAACAGCCTCATATATCTTTTATGTCCGTGGCCCATTTTTTTGAGAAAAGTATGCTCATTTCTCACGGGACATTGATATTTTCACAGTGTTTTAATTATTGGACGAGAGAAGCTCGAGGGCCGGAGCAATGATGAGGTTTCCCCACATCGGTGGTTTTCAACAATGTCAGCTCTTTGACACATTTTCAGCTCATTCCACGATGAATGAAATACAAATGAAACCCATCGCCCATTGGTAGGAGGTATCAATAATTGGCGGCGCAGCGTGAAAGGCCAAGACCGGAGAATTTTGGGAGATTTGACCTCTGCAGGCGCATAGGATTATAGTGGCCAAACACAATAATGGGAAAGTCATTGTGTCAGCGGATTATGCATCTATCTTTAAGAGCCAGAAAAGACCGTATATATATGGCTATAATATGAAAGGGGAATGTGACTGTTCCGAATATGTCAGATAGCCTGTCAGGAAAATTGTGCTTGTGACCTAGGATACTCACTTTACACTGGAAAATAGTGATTATTATCAAAAAAAATCGTCTAATCTGACTGATTATTTTCTCTAATTACTCACGGATCACTCTGAACAATTAGATAGGAAGTTCACCTGCTTGGAAAAATGACAGAAAAATTCCCAAAAGAAACCTTATCACAATTCTTCTCGATTTAATTTCAAATATATATATTTTAAAAAATCAATATAATAATTTTAAATAACTCAGAATTTAGACTAATATTTTTAGCCAGTGAAAGACACACATACACAGACTCGTGCGCACACACTCACTCGCTCACACACTCACACACACACTGCTGCTGTCAGTATCCCTCCATTAGCGGGGGTGACCGCACACTGCGACTCCGCGCGCGCGCTCCCCCCTCGCTCGAGCTCGAAGATTAGACGCAGATTCCGCCGCTATTATGAATTCAAATACATCCTTCCGTGATTGAAGGGAACCATTACAATAAGCCACGCGCCGTTGCAGATAATGGCACGAGGTGTGCACAGCCTTCAGCCGCTTTGACAGGATATTGAACGGAGGTGAAAAGTTAACAAAATTATCAAATAGCCAGGAGCTCGAGCTTCCTCAGATGTCAGTGGGCGGAGAAATAAAATAATAACACGAGGAAAGTATACAGGCTGTGGTGTTAGACATCCTAGCAGACTGACTGTGAAATATCAGAAGTACTAGTCATCGATATTGTCAACGTCATATAACTAATGCAGTTCATATGTAAGTAAATTATATTCGCTGTATAGGCTGTACCATAACTTTTCCTATATAAAGTGAATCTCCCGTAACAGACTAGTTCAAGGTCCTGCATATTAAATCCATAATCGTTTCCAGTGTGCTGAGAGTAGAGTGGCCTTGCAGCAGCAGACACAGAGGGGCAGCAGCAGCTCCCTCATCATCTTAACACACTCCACCTCGGCTTCCTGTTCCTCTTCTTCTTCGATGGTATAATAATTTTGACTGAGTTAAAACGCGGCTAGCTCTTTCACAGAAAAGGAATTATCAAAACGGAAATGAGGGAGCCGAGCAGGTTGGGGAAAAGGAAGTTCTCGCTTCAACTTCATCTTAAAGGTAAACTAGAGGAGGCCTTTTAATACTTTAACAAACATGAAACTACCTTAAGCTGACACATTTGGGCTCTAAATAATGTCATAGTGCGATGTTAGGGAGTGTATTGTTTTTATTGCGCACCTTATCCTTCAGAGAACGATGAAAAGTATCAAAGAATGAAGGTTTCACTGTGTAATTTCAGGACATGTTTATGCAAATGTCCACGAGTGTGTTTCCGCGTGTGGCACGTGCGCGCGCCGACTCATGGAGTCGTTCTGCGGGGAGAAATGATAGTCGCATTAACCCTTCAACTCTTATTTCATGGCTGCCTCGTTAAGAAGCTTGTGGATTTAATTACCGCTAGTGGAGGCTGGGAAGGTACAAGGCCCCGTGTCGCCGTGTAATTGGAAGCATTTCTCTCTACACCCAACTTAACATTTTCCACCCATCTCTAATTGTCGAGTACAATTCACGCTCATTAATAAGGCGAATTATGTAATTTTCAAAACAGGACTCTGCTGTTGGATGATGGGGGTGGGGGTGTGTGTGTGGGGGGGTGTTGAGCAATACACTGATAATTCCATCAGCGGACTCTGTGCCACATTTAGTACTCTTTTCTTCAAATAGAAACTACATGCTGTTAAATATAAGGCAAAGCTATAATTAAAACCACATCAGTTTAAAAACGCGTCTTTTGTGCATACATAGCTTTGGGGGACTTCTCAGTAGCCAAACAGTCTGTGCATCCATACTATGTTATATTGTGGCATCAATTTCAAAATAGCTATGGTGGAGGACGCGTTGTACACACACCATGCCCCATGCAGCTAAAATTAACTGCATTTTAGTCATTGAATCCTGATACAGAAGCTGTGTGAAGATCAACTCATTTACAAGCTAAATACTTTTATCAGATGTGTATTATAACTCAATTTTGGCTCAGTTTCTCAACTAATACAGCTGGGCCTATGCTACTTCACTAATATGTGACAGTGGTTGTTAATATTTACACTGACATTGAACAGCACTCTGCCCGTCCAAACCCAACCCAGAAAAATTCTACTATTAATACAAAAAATTAAACAGATTCAGAAAAGGTTGATTTAAAAAAATCTGAATGAGTTGCAGTCATCTAAAAATATTTGACCTTTCTATGAAAGGCCTCAGAATTTAAATTGGTTTGACTATTTTAATATGTTGGACATCTGCTCTGAGGCTACTGTATGACTGGTCTTCATTAATTAACTCCACCCCTTCTGTCCTTATCGGTTCCCTTCGCTTTTTATTCATTTGCCTACTCTCTCTTTTCTTCCTGCCCTCGGTGCATACCAGGTATCAGAGCTATGTGGCTTTGTCAGTTTGCTCACATGGTCATATCTTCTCCCTCTCTTGTTTAATCACCATTCAATAACCCCGCGACGACTGTGTGAATGGCAACATTTAATGGGCTACACTTCATTTGCTCTTTTAAAATTGGCCCAGGTTGATGGCAAACAACAACGACAGGCAGCAGCTGGAATAGAGAAATCACACACGGTGACAGTCACGGTGAGGCGAGGGGCCGAATACCGCTGCTGCAAATGAAGTCCTCAGCCACAAGACTCCATTAAAAAGTCGCAACGTGATACCAATCTGCAACTTTATTATTGCCAGGGCCCACTCCTCCCCCCACGCCAGCGCCGTAGCCGCCGCAGTACTCCATCCTGCATTATCAGAAAACACAGTCATTAAAAAGCATTTGACCTTTTTGTAGCGAGTAGCGAGAAATTACCTTTCCTGTTTGGTTCCCCCTTCCTCCCCCCTCCCACCTTGTTCGGCGAATAAATCACTTCACTGCAAATTGTAATGCAACTCCTCCTTCGCTCTGAGTGGCGTTATAGGTCCGCTATGCTTCTCTGGCGCCGGAGGAGATACCGCCATAATTAAATGTTACATCTGCCAATTGTTTCACAGGGACAATGAGGAGGGATGGGGCAGCTGGAGAGCAGAGGAAGAGAGGATTGTGGGGGGTGTGGGGTGTTAGGAAGTGGTGGGGGAGACAAGTGGAGGTGAGACAGTGCTCCAGGGTTGGAGCGTTTGAAGAGAAGATTGCAGAGGCCAGCCAAGGAAAAGAGAGGAGGAGAAAGGGAGTAGACAGGTAATAGAAAGAGAGGTTGGAGCAGAGACAGACGGATAGAAAAAAAAGAAGCTCTTGGCCTCACATTGAGCATCTCAGTGTCATCATCCGAGTCTGTATTGATCTGATGTGTGTGTGAACGTCTCCTTGTGTGAGTGTGTGCGAGCAAGATGGATGGATGAAGTCTTAGAAGTGTAACAGCGTATCCTAACACTTTGAAATCCTCTGCTCAGACAGCGTCTATCTCTGATATCTCGGCCTGGCTGCTTTTCACTGACACCCTGAACCAATCGGCTCACATGGTGGAAAACAACCAAAGTGCCTGTGGCTCATGTGGGTGTGATAATGAATATTTATTGTCTCGTGATGCATCTCATCATACACCTCAGCATCCACTCGCACACACATTTAGGCCTTATACCCACGCCCACCACCCATGCGAACACAGCTCCTCCCCATGTCTACAGAGCGAGCCTTTGTTTACCCCCATTGAAATGAAAACTGCCACGGGAGTTGCTCTAGTTGTTACATATCACCCTGTGAGCAATTAGCAAACTGCACAGGGGGCAGAGGGAAAACATACACTGTCACATGATGTTTTGATGACCCCTATGTGTTTGATTTCAGGAGAGTGCAAGCGCATGTATTTCTGTTGGTGCATGCTGTTTATCTTAATCTAGTATTCCACTTTTTGTAGCCAAGGAGGTCTAGTCAAAAACACAAGAAGGAGCACAGATGCAGAAAAGAAAACAAAGACCCGCTTCATAGTGACTCTGTTTTTAATTTTTTTCATTAAAGCATGTGATTTGTCCAAAAATACAGGGATATAGACCATGAAAAGAGAAGTTTGTTTTAAAACGGTATTATTAAATTTACTTCCTCTGGCCAAGCTGAAGACTATGGTGATAAAATTGCAATGTGACACTTGAAGTTTTTAGTTACTGTGTGACTGCAACATGCAGCAGTGATCCAAAACTCCAGTGAGACAGTTCATATAGCAATACAGAAGCACTATCCCCCTGCAGCCCCAGGCTACTGTTACATTAACCTAAGCTGTGCCATGGAAGCAAATCAACAAGGGGATAAGGAATGGTTAAATGGAGGGGTTATGTTGAATAAACCCTTCCCAATGTGCTGCAGGGTGGAGATGCATTTCCATAACTGAGATAAATTGGATTTAACGGCGAATCATAGACAACAATAGTAAAGGACGCTTAGGGCTGGTGTCTGTCCCACCCTACAGCGGGGATATACAGGACCTCTGTGTGTGTTCCCGTGCCCCCGTGCCAAAACGGTCTCGTTCTGGTTAAGGTATGAAATCGCTCTGACCATAAGCACCTTCTCTTTTCAGCCGTGACCTGTTATCCTTTTAGTTGAAGAGAGTCAAGGGAGGCCTTGTTTTACCCTGCAGGCAGATGCCAGCACAGGCGCAATTTAAACAAGCTTCACCAGGCCGACTGAAAGCTGTAAGGAGCATCTACTTGTTACACCTGCTACTCAAGACTACAGGAGACCAAGAAGAGTCAGTTGGCTATGATCCACTATGTACGTCTTTGATTAATCGGTTTTGTTGCTTAAACAGGGCAAAGTTAATTCAAATCCAGTTAAAATAAAAAGATAAGTTGTAAAATAGAACTATAGTAAAGTCCAACTTTACTCACAGAGGAATATCTGGAAGAAACAATCACAATTGTCTTTATTAGTCTGTTATACAAAGTGTCTTTTTAATTCCTGTGAACAAATAAATGTTCCTCAGCTGCTCAAGTTTGACACAAATCAACAAAAACTCTATCAAAAGAAGTCCTAACACTCAATTTTAGTTGCTAATTTTAAAAAAGCTGAGAATACGGAGGATGATTACACTACACACACACAGACACACACACACTCACACACACATACAAATACACTCACCACCCACTGTCGGTGATAACAAACAGTGATTAGCATGTGAAAAACAACACAGACAGGGTGTAAGCAAGCAGATGCCTGTCCCCCTATTAGCCATGTTGATTAGCTGACTGTCTAAATACCTTTGTTTTGGTGGTTGTGTATCTGTCCAGCTCTTTTTCCCTCTTTCTCTCTCTCTCCCTTTGGACGACACACCCCAGGCCACCCTGTAAAAATCCTAACTCATCCTGAAGCCAATTCCTGTCTCTTTTACCCAGAAAACAAATACACAATCAAACAACACTAAGCCAATTTCTTCCCTTGCTGAAGCGTATTCACAGACACCCTCGTACACACACAGACACACACACACACACCTCCTCTAATTTCCTGGGGCCGTGGTACTGGCAGGGAGTGTGTTGTAGCGCCAACTGAGCTCTGTGTTTGGGGTAATTGCTCTTGCTGCGTTAGTATGGAAATCTGCAAATGTGTGACAGGGCCAGATAGCTTCCTCCAATGTTGTTCTGATCCTGCCTCCAGGCCCGCAGCCAAACTATTTTATCTCTTAATGCATTAGAGTGATCTTCCAATTAGCCCACGCTCATAATACTCCCCCATTCCTGGTGGCTGTGTGCTCAGGGCTGCACAGAGACAGAAAGACAGGGAGGGAAGTGGCGCATATTGGAGTGCGTGTGTGTCCACATAAAGCTTATGTTCGCATGAATGTGAGTGTCCATGTATATGTCTGAATGTATACATGAAGGTAAATGTGAGCCTTCACATAAAGGTTTGTGCCAAGAAAATGTGTACACCTGTGAAAATGTGTTTCATTTACAAAAAAACGTGAAGTTATTTCAAAAAAAGTGTGTCCGTGTGAACGCGTGTTCCGAGGCTTGATGGGTTTGGGTGGTGGATGAGGCGGTGGAGGTGGGCTGGGTTGGCAACCGGGGAAAAGTGAAGTGGAGAGGATGCGGCGTACGCGTGTGTAAGTGTGTACGTGCATGCAGGCGTGTGAGAGGAGCAAGGCGGGTGGGTGGTGGGTGGTGGTGGTGTGGCGATAGTTCTGCTTGAGAGGTGAAATGAGGTGCTTATTGTGCACGGCGTGGGGGTTGCGCCGTTAGTCCGGGGCTCCTGTTGTAAAGTTTGCTGATAAGGGGAACCCGGCCCTTGAGCATCCATTCTCCTCGGTGTATTAGCGCTCCCTTATCAGGGGCCCAGATAAAAACCGGCATGCCATTTGCCTTCGGTGGAATTAAGCCCTCCTCCTCCTCTTTCTCCTCCTTCTCCACCTCTTCCTCTTCCACCCTCCTCCTCTCTCCTTCCCTTGTCTGCCTTGACTAACCGGGCGGGCTGCGATTAACCTCGACACTGTCCAATATCCTCAGCAGACTCCTGCCCGCAGATTAGCCGCTATTAGTTATGACCAACTAAATTAACCACTGCCGCTTTCCTGAGAGAGGGAGAAGGAGGGAGCGGGAGATGGAGGAGAGAAAGAGAGGTGCATGCAGGGAGATGGAATGAGCATGAGGAGGTTCATTTAGAAAGGGAGGGACAGATGGGGAGACTGATGGAAAGAGGGTGATAAGTGAGGGAGGGAGGAGGAGAGACAAAGTGTTACAAGCATTGTGTGTGCGTTCATACATGTGTACACTCTGAAGTGGCTCATTTTGTATTGTCCTCGCTGGGACAAACATACTGTACGTTAGACTTTCTCATGCAAATGTTGGTCTAGGCTCTCACACGAATACACAAATTTGTTTATTGCCACAATAATTTGTCCGGACTATTTAATTCACTGTATGTCATCTCACTTGACATCTTCTCAGTGACGTAAAATCTATTCATTGTCTCACTGGGTCGAGCCAGTCGTCATGATAACTTTGCCTCTCTCTCTCTTTTTGGTCGTGTCAGTGCTGCTAAATACACCGTTGAGTAAAAAACAAACACAAATTTCTACCTGGGTGCAGAGTCACAAACAGACTCGACAGCATCTCTTTGGTTTATGAGCCACAGTCTGTACAGCAGGAAATATCCGTGCATTAATGACATTTCAGGGTTTGATTTTTTTTAATTGCATTCGACACCTAGTTGGAAATTATCAGGGATTTCAAACAATAGACTTGATGAATGAAAACAAGAAATACACACACACACACACACACACACACAGGCAGATGGAGGGTCATTGTATTGCTTGAATAAATGTCATGTAAAACAAGTCAATGAATGTTTTAATTATTGAGATAACAGAACTTGAATTACATTAAGCAAATTTGATACAGTGAAGGAACATTTTTGTTTTTGACAAATAAGAATATGTGCACCAATAATTGGATATCAATAATTAAATTTCGTTCCCATACATATAAGAATTTGTGCATAAAAAGGAATTTACAATTTGAAGTCTATATTAAACTCTGATAAATATACAAATTTAAGTATAAATTATAGGGATTTTAAATATTAACAGCTTTGCTTAAAGTATACACATCCATAAATATATATCTATATTTAAATACATGATAATCTTACAAAAAAAATCATTATTAATTTTAAACTATCTGACCACCTTGTTTAATATCCTTTGCTCCATCTCTCTTTTTTCGGTCCTCAGACCGCCCTGCACACTCTTGACAGAGGGTCTCAAGAAACAATGTGACTGGCACAACACAGAGGTCCTCTCCATGGTGGGCATTTTTGTGTGTTTGTCTGTGTGTTTGTGTTGACTTATGAGATGGACAAGGTGGCAGGGAGCCATGGAGCACACACACTGCTTTTCTGTTTGCAGGAGCCTATCCCTCATACGTACACACACACATCCTGACAACTTACATTCAGTGTCACACCACACCCCGCTAATTCTTTGCTGAGTGTATTTAGCCGTCACATCTGGCTGTATTGACAGGAGATGCCATGGGCCAAAGCAAAGCCACCTGCACATGGCTGCTGCAGCCCCAGCGCCTACACCGACCGTCTCCCCTCTCCCTGTATTTGTTTCTCCCTCTTTCACCCTCCTTACTGCCTCTTCTCCTAGCTTACGTGTATTGGTATTCATGTGGCTCTGAAAAGACATAGCACAAGTGCACAGACAAATGTACAGATGTAAAAATCAATACTCAGCAGGTTTTTATCTATTCAAGGAGCTAAGTGCAGAATTAATTAAAGATCGCAGTAAAATCAACCAAGTGTTTGCTTTTTACATTGAGAGTTTGACACTGATCATTTTTATACTTTTGTCAGTTTATTTAATCTTTATTGATACACAATTTACCAAACACAAATTTTTTAATAAATCCCCAAGAAACTTGTATAAGTATATAATAATCACTTAGATTTAGAAACCATAGAAAATTATCTTAAAGGCTATCTATTCAGTTACTAAGACTGATTGTTAGGAAATCAATTATTTCTAAATATCGTCACCTTCTTAAAATAATGGCTTAAGTCAATGAGCAAGTTTTCAGAAACGTTCCTGAATACTCTCAGAAAATGGCCTAACCCACATCCTTTACATAGTCCTTATACTACAAGGGTAGTATCACATGATCTGTTCAATTGAGGATTTAGGCAAATCTACCAGAGATGGGCAGCAACATGAGGGACTGAATAAGTATTTTTGTTAGAAAATGACATAAGCCATTATTTTAAGAAGGTGACGATATTGTAGTTTGAATATTTCACCTTATTACTATTCCATTGAATTTTAACAAAATTTTACTAAATCTCAAGAATAGCAAAATGTTATGTCATTTTCATTTGAGATTTTTTTGTGATATATCTGATGTACAAAATACTTTGAAATTCTACGTTGGCTGTGCATTGGCGTGTCTGCTTCACAAGATTGCTCAGTAACTTTATCCCACTTTGGCCATCTCTCTTCCTTTTCTACTTTGCTGTCACTCAGAAGCCTCAAGTGTTGGATAACGCCATTGAAAGCAGTCGCTGTAATTTTAATGGGGAACCAGTGGGCTTTAAAGGACAGGAGAACATGGCACAGTTGTTGCCCTCCACTGTGTAAAATGAAAACAGGAGAGTAAAGCCAGTATAGCCCCCTGCTCTCTCCCCCTCTCCTGCTGCCCCCCGTGTCCACAATAGGGGGAACCTGTTTATCTCTATGTACAATTAAGAGTGTGAAATTTGAACATGCTGAATTAACTAAAAAAAGACCCACTTTTGTTACAAAGGAAACAAAGCCTCAGGAGAGAAGAGAGGGGAGGAGAGAGAGAGAGGGAGAAAGCATAGACGGAGGAAAAAAGGATTTAGCAGTTGTAAGAAAAGACAGCGTGGCTCACAAAAATCCAGAATAATCACATTTCCACCAAATAAATCAGACTGGTTGGCATGTGGTGCAAACAGACACACATGGTGAAAGACATCTGCAAACACAGACACAGGTTTAAAAGCATCCACAGCAGAGTGCGACATTTTCTGTGACTTTGCACACTGACTTTTAATTTTCACTTTCCCGTTCACTCCTACACACAAACTCACACACAGCAGCCTGAAGCTATATGACAGCGTGCCAACCTCACCCCGTGTGCTTGTTCATTCACCCACTGTTTTGGCCTGCTAACAGGCCTCTGGCACAAGCGATCCAGCCAGACCACCCTGACTGCCCTCCTCCATCTTCTCCTCTCCGTAAACCAGCGATCCAGCCAGTCAGGCTCATTTTGGCTTTACTTAATGCCACGACGACACCTCACATCGCCCCACTTCCACCTTAAGAGAATGAGTAATCAACAAACTGGGAGCCATTTGCCGTCTGTCAGTCAAATCCAACACTCTGCTGTGCTATCAGTCCTCTGCTTGCACCAAGCCCTCCTTCCCTTCCTTCCTCTCCTCTAATACCAATTTAAATCGTTCAACGCTCCTTTCCTCCCGCTGCCATTATTCAAAAAGATCATAATAGTTTTCCCTGTGCCCAAAGCACAAAAATCAATTATTTCCCCACAAAGACTTGAAAGTACTTAGCGCAGGCCTGCGAGGGGAAAAGCTGTGGGTTATATCAAATTGAAACTGCACTCATTACACAGGCACACAATTAGTTACCTCTGGTCTGCCTGCTGCTCTTTAATTTCCGAAACGGCATATCTGTATTATAACAGAAACAAGCATGCAAATGCTATTGTTGGGGATTTAGAGAAATCAATAGGACGGCTGGCGAGAGGCGTTTGGTGGCGCTGTCACTCAAAATCTGCTGCCGGCGACTGATAAAGGTCTGAATTCAAATTAGTGCCAAAGCCGGCCAGTGACATCAGAAGTGACATCCAAAATAAAAGGGACGGCTTCATGATATATGTAATTATTCTCCTCGCATTTGTGCTACATTTTTTTTTTCTCTCCTCTCTCCCTCCTCTTTCCTCCCCACCCTCATTCTCTCTTTTTCCTCATTGTGTATACTTGTGTAACTGTGTTTTGCATAAAGGGATTAGGAGTGCCTTAATGAGAAACTGTAATTGTTTTTTCAGCCTCACTCTATGGATATGTTCACGTGTGTGTATGTGTGTGTTTGCGGGTGTTTGTGAGAGAGACGGAATGAAAACATGTCTTGAATATGCCTTGTTTAATGCAAAATGAATACAGTATTGAAATAATATTTTTTTCTCCTCCATATCAGAGGACTATTGCTGTGAAAGCTACGAAGGTCTGGGAGAAAACTATGTTATGAAATACATTTCCCCACAATAATGAGCCGAGAGCTGATACTGAACAATGGACATAACCAGACTCGGCTTCAGTTTGTCTCAGATACCAAATTGTTGACATCTTTTTATTTTCACTGCTGCCAAACTTTTCTGTTTGGCAGAAATCCTGATAAGGTATAATAGATACCCAGCCTGACTGGGCAAACACATGAATGAAGCATTTTTAACACAGGAGATTAAACACTGGGGAACATTAATCAGTGTGTTTTTTTTTTTCTATCAGTCCATGTCGACGATGCTGAGCTGAAATGATGGAATAAGATCTCTTTTAATGAACAAACTAATGTACAAATGTGACGTTTGCTGTTTTTTTTAACTCATGTGATATCAATGTCCTTAATATTTATACATGCATTACACAAATTCAGCTTTATTTGACCTGGAGTTTATGTGAAATAAAGTAAAAAAATCATTAGATTGATTGTGGAATATTTGTATTTATATTAGAAGAAACTGGATTTTGCTATTTAGTGTTGAATTTCTTTTAGGTCGTCATATTTTCCAATAACATCTCTAATTTTTGCAGACTTCTGTCAGCAATTTCCCAGGATGCCTTTGATAAACCACTTACAGAACAAGTGTGTGGCAAGTTTTTTGCACGAGGGAGGCTGAGAGTAGGGAGACAATAATGCTTTAATGTGATGTTTGTTCAACAAGGGCATAATTTTCATTTCACTTTTGGAGTAGACATCCGCTGGGATCTCTCCAAGCCTCTACAATTATAATCTTTAACAACTGGAGGCTGATGTTCTTAATGGAGTACTCTTCATGTGAATTATACACTGTGTACTGTACGTGACCCTTGAGACTGAACATGACATCCTGACCAAAACAGTGCTGTGCCAGCTTTATTCTGGGATTTAAATCCTGATCCTGCTGGTAATAGGGGTACAGGTGGGGTTTAGATGACAGTTTGGTGCAGAGTTTTATGATTCATCCTTTAGATCCAGGAGCTGCAGTCTAACATCTACACAGAAACCACTTTTGCTTCATGCTGCTTCCACAAGATCAACATCTTTATTTGTGTGGTTTCATACTGCCTGTGAGTTTTCCTTTTTCCAGTTATATAACCAAGGAAGAGTTATATCTAGTTACAGTTATATATATATTATATCATCTTTTCAAAATAAAAATAAAAAAGTTTCGTTTATGTTAATTTGGGACAAGATTTTTATTGATGAAGATAGAGGTCACCACCGTGTTTCTCTCGAAGCAGAAACCAGACAAATTGGTAAGATATATGTTTTTATATTGAGTGAGTGTTCGTGGGAAGTTTATCAGCTGATAGATGAAAACAGAGAAAGATGTTGGGGAAAAATCACTTGTATTGAAATTTTATGATGGTAAAAACTTGACCTGAGTGGTCACTTTGACCTGGAGGATTCCCTTATCATGCATTTGAAGGGTTTTTGTCTATTAAGGCCACTGTTACTTTACAGAGGGGTGGGGTGAGGGGGGGAGTGTTTTAGTTTATATGTGACTGCTAGATGTCGCTAAAATGTCCCTTTTTAAAATAAGCGTTTGTGTTCGATATGATAAGGTGATCATGTTAAACAACCAGCTGTAGGCTTATTTCACAAACCTCCACAGATGAGTTTGTCATTTCTTCAAGCATCTTCTGGCTTGACCCATGCCCACTTTGATATCCTGTAGGTAAGAGTCAGCTTCACTTAAGCTTGCAACTACTTAACACAACACGAGTATTTGTATTTTTGTTATCCAGGCTAAAATCACGCACATGCTTCGTCTATTCTAGAGAGCATGGATTGCTCGCTTCACGGCACCTTGATGGGCTGGAAGGCCGGAGGGCCGGTGGTGGTGGACGGCTCCTCTCTCTTCTCTGCAGGACAGAAAGATTCAGAAGATCTTTTGTACCAACAGCTATTAGACTTTATAACTCCTGTGTAAAAAGTAGATAACTGTTAGAGACATATTTTGTGAGACAACAGAAAATTGAATTTTCCTTCGGGGATAAATAAAGTTTTTCTTATTCTTACCTACTGGCTTTATTTTTGGTATGGGGACACCGTCATCGTTCAGCAACTAGGATGTAAAAACATTGACTCAGCCGAAACAATGGTAGTGCTAAAAAGTGTTGAACAACATAAAAATGGAGCACAAGATGTCATGTTTTCTTTAAAATATGCTGATTTATTTCTAGCTTTATCTTATTTTGTGCGTTAAAAAGATCTTGATTTCACACTAACTGAGTTGATAACAATATCACAACTGCTGATGTTGTCTCCACACATCAAGCGTGAGTAAAACCATTCACGCAAATGAAATATATGTAAAGTCAATGCAAAGATGCGATTAGACGCTCCCACAACTCTGGCAGCGCGAATGATGCAGATTGAGAGTGGGATGTGCATGTGTGTTTGCTGAGGTCAGACTATAAGATCGTTCTGATTGTTACGATGGTCACTGTGTCAGATTAGGTGATCACGTAGCTGCCATGATCTGACCAACAGATATGACAGACTGTTCATCACGCCGGTCTACTCAGCATACCCACTGTGATGAAGAGGCGCTGGGCTGGGTGATACCAGGAAGCGTTCACAGCAGTTAGTCACCAGGTTGTTTCAGTGCAGCTGTTTTTCCTCACGTCTATTTCTCCCTTTTCAGTATGGCGTGTTAGTCTCTTGATGACATATCATAAAAGCAGGGATGTTGATTAGAAGGCTTGACAAACTTTCTCTCTGTTTCGGATTTCCATCTCCCCTCTCCAACTTTGTCAGTGCGTTTACATGCACAGCTTATTTGGACTAAGCTCACAATTCGTTTTTTTTCGCCGAATTGAACTTCTCTCCTTGTCTGCGCATACATGCAGCTGAGAAAATCAAATTATTGACGAGAATGTGTCCTCCTCCCCAAAACTAAGGGGTGATATGGGTCTTTTCAGTGGTACTGTTTCCGGTTAACCCCATACAGCTGTCAACAACAACAGCAGATCCATGCCAGACGCCAGAAGTGGCTACAACTGCTGCTGGGTATTTTCGAGCAAGAAGATGGAGCATCGTACAGTGTTGTTTTTGTCGTACTTGATGTATGCGCTACCTCTTCAGCAGATGAAATGCTCGCTTCACCTCGTGCCACTTCTTCTTGTGTGTTTTTGTTCAGGGGTTACGGGGGTGTGGCGCACACGCCCATGCATTGTCCAATCATACTCTGACTACGCTGGTTACATGGTAGAGAAAATCGAATTCCAATCGCATTATCTGGGTGTCTTAATCAGAGTTCTCCGACTCCAATCAGAGTTCTCAAACTTTGATGATAGTCCGACTAAGGTGTTTACATGCACCTCAGTTGTCCGGTCTTAATCGGAGTAAGGCAATAATTCAGTTTTCTCGAGTGTCATGTAAACATACTGAGTCTTCGTTATTTCACCATTTTGTTTGTTTACACTTGAGTGTTTGCACTGACAGAGCGTTCTGTGCCCTCATTGGTCAACATCAACAATGTGAGGAAACAAATCATGGCAGGCAGAGAGAGAAATTGAACATGCTTAACTTTCTTTCAGAAAGTTGTCCAAAATACAGGCTTGATTGATGTTCACTATGACAGTACTTGAGATGAAACAATCTTTTTCCAGGGCTGAGGGGTCTCGACGCCCGACATCTACCAGATCTGGCTGTTATCCTGCAAAAATGTGTGGTCTGACCTTGGCATAAAGGGAGGGTCAAAGCTGATATTTTAGGTTATGAGGACTGTGTGCCCTGTCAGGCAGTTAACATCATATTCACACCTTTCAACCCTTCAATACTCCTGCATTCCAGCTCCTCCCCTCTCCCCCCCTTCTGTGATGCTCATTTTATGAAGAGCAAAGCCATCAGCCATATTTCTGCCTTGTCCCACAGACAAAGCCCTCTGCTTTGGGCTGGGCCAGAATGAAGTGGGGCAAAGTATGCAGGGGAGGGGAGAATGTGCCCTTTGTCGCCCCCCCTCTCTGCCCCATTCTCTATCTCTCCATATCCTGCCTCCTACTCCACACCCCCACCCCTGCTAGTTCTCTAACACTGAGGGGAAAGGCAAAGGAGGGAGGGGGATGGCTGGTTCATTCAGCATCGGTTAAACGTTTTCCCAGTGGCACAATGCCGGGGCGGAGTAGGCAGGTGCAAGCCAGGCAGAGGGAGGAATGGAGGGAAAGGGAGAGTAAGTGAGTGAGTTAGAGAGAAAGAGAGAGAGAGAGAGAGAGAGAGAGAGAGAACAACAGGTTGACCTACAACGGACCATAATCATGTAGCACCATTAAACCCTAAAGACCTCCCACTCGCTGTCTTTCTTGCTTTCTCACTCTTTCTTTCTTTTTCTCTCCCTCCCTCACCAGTGTACACAAGCTGCTGCCCCACCACTTGTTAGACCAACCAAGGACCCACACACATACACACACACACACACACACACACATGCACGCACATACACAAACAAGCTTAGGGCCGGGCAGAGCAAACAGACATACTCACACCTCAGTGGCACATTTGTGCTCATTTCACATAGATGGCTAGTCAAGTGCGAGTAAACCACACATTCACACGCGCACACACCAACAGCAGAGTGGGCATATAATACATCAAATCACACATGCTAAGATAAGCACTCATGTCATAATATGGACACACTCAAGCACGCTCACAAACTGGCTTTCTCCTGGCCCAACCAAGTGTGTGATGATCAGTGGGAAGGCTGCAAGAGAGGAGGGAGTGTGTGTCAGGGTGTCAGACTGTGTGTGTGTGTGTGTGTCGTTCGTTTGCTGCATTTGATCAAAAGTGGCACTAAAGGCCTGTTGGTTATATTGATGCATTTGTTTTAAGCGTGAATTTCTAAAGATTTCTAACTATGGAGGCAAGGCAAACTTTAATTTTACACTTTTAATTCCTTTTTTTCCTGTGATAAGCAATTTTTCAACGCAACAGAGGAGGTCTAAGGGACTGAGAGTTCTTCCTTGGATCAATAAGAACGCCCAATAATGTCTCTATTGACTCTTCTTAGGTGAAAAATCCTTCCTTGCTTCCACCCTAAACTATCTCTGTCCCTCTTCCCTCCCTTTTCTCGTCTTTTCCCTTCTCCACACCTCTTCATTTCCCAAACACACCCACCACTCTGGATCTTCCTCTTATCTGTCTCCCATAGGTGATCGATGACCCTGTGAACATGAATGTTCCATTAAAGCCGGAGCCATGAGGTCAGGATACACTGTCATGGCTGCCTCTGTCTTTACCCATATGCCCTCCTATCTTCTTCACAAATTGTATCTCTCTCTTGTCTTTTTCCTCCTCTTTCTATTTCTTCTAGTTTTCCTTCTTTCAATTTGCACCGCCATTAAGATTTATGACTGCCGGTCTTCTCCAACAATCTTCTCAATCACAGTACTTGAGGGTAATAAAGCATGATTCACTTGATTTTACATAGGAACGAGGAGCATGAACATATATTGTATTGTTGCATTCACATGGCCACAGGTTTACACACATACATGAACCTAGATTTAAGTAAGCCTACAAGTCCCGGACCATTAAGCCAAGAAAACAATGGCTCCCGTCCCATGTGTCTGCATTGCTAATTTTGAAATGTCATGTGATATTAACGTAGGCACATCAGGTCACATCTAGCTCAAGCCGAGTTTGACAACTGCACAATACACTTGGGCTTCTCTACCTCTAAAACTTCGCTACCCTCTGTTTTGCCCCCTCATTGTCTTCATTTCTGGCTTTGCTATTCTTGAGTTGACATAAAGTGATGACAGAGGCGGCACACTGGGGACTGTTTATTGATGTTGCATCCAGGGGTACATAGTTGGGCCGCTAAGAGCGCATTAAAGCAGCCTATTAGCTTGCATGTAAAACCAGCTACCATCAAGAAGCCACCATTGCAGTAAAAAAATAATTCACTGGTTCCAGTTGCTGCACTTCTGCTCTGTTGTCAAGGATACTGACCAGTGTTAGTAGAAAATAGTTGTGCTGCAGTATTCATCCATCTACCAAATTGCACTGAACATGGAATTTGAATTTATTAAAGAGCAGCCCCTTGAAATGTAACATTGCTGTAATTGAAGCTTGACATCTGTACTATAGTATATATTTGGCATAAATTCTTCTAGGCTTGGCAAACCGGCTTCTAATCCACACTAGACGTGGGATGCCAGGAATATGAACATGTTCATTCATTTATTCTGTCCACATAAACCTCACAGTTCCACTCTGATCACTTTTCAAAATTATTATTTAAAGTGTTATCAGTGGTCTTTAAATTCTGCACACTCCTCACGCTAGCTTACTGCCTAACATTGAAACAGAAGTGGCAGGTAACATAGGAGCTACTCAGCTCTTGCACACTAATGTCTTTGGGGGCATGATGAAGGCTAATATCATAATAAGCTTTCTTACGTTCATTGCAATCCGCTGATGCACACATTTGTTCTGCCATCGTAGTCTCTACTTCTCGTGGTCTGGCCTGCAGAGCGTGGCCCAGAGCTTTGATTTGTGATGTAGAAAGGTTGTAGGTCTGCCAGAGTTTTACAGCAATATGATTGCAGAAATACTCAGAAATGCATTTTTGCACATAGTTTTTTTCATGATTTGTCCTCTAGCGTCAGAAAAATGCCATATGAACATATAGATAACAAGAAAAACATAATTATCTCTGGAGATGGTCCTTAACTAGGCCACAGACCCACTTGTTTTGCCCCAGATCTTCCAGAGTAGTGAAGACCCGCCTCATTTAAAGGGCTTGACTATAGTTGGACTTGATATACTCAATTCTGCTCCTCTCACTTCATCTATATGCATTCATGTCCCATTTATCCTGACTACTTATCTTCCCAGGTTCCCTGTGGATCATTGCCATTGACTTCCTGCTGCTATGAGACTGCATATTTTGCATATTTATACCATGTCAAATGAGGTCTTCTTCTACTAAGTGTGGACATATACAATAAGTTGGAATCGTAGCGTAAATGATTTTTAAAACAGGAAAAAACATCTTATACTCTTAAAATATAATTTTGTGGACTGCATAAGTCAGTTTACATGAGGGGAGTTTTGGAGCCACTGATATCATTTTGATACATCTCTGTCACTCCA